GCTCAAAGCCCGCAAAAACTACTTTTACCCACTTTTTGAGACTTTCCTTTCCTAGACTATTTTTCCGAGCAACATCATCTAGCGATTGCAATTCAGAACAAGCTTCCTTGGGAGAACTGGCATATTTTCTTTCCCACTTTTCATGATCACGGGTTCCAGACAGCATGAATGCGGCTTTGAAGTCTTTGCCCAAACCGAGACGGGGAATAACATGGTTTTCAATATACGAGATCTCCTTAAGAGATAAATTTCATAATATTCAGGTGCTACACTTATTGAGTTACTATTTCTTAATATTAAGACTTTTATTATATTGAGTTACTATTTCTTAATATTAAGACTTTTATTATGTATTATCTGGGGTTTTCCACCGTAATTAGCGTAAAATAAAATTTTTGTGGTGAAGCCCAAAAATTTCAAGAAAAATAGCAGTAAATAGTTGAAAATCGGTAAAAAAAAGATTGGCACACATGATCAGAGAAGTCATCCTATCCTTTACACTATTAACATTATTTTACGTTCTTTGATTTTCCCTTTACTTCAAATACCTTATCTACTTCCGTGTAGGAACGCATATGATGTGTTCCATCAATAACAATCACAGTTGCACCATTACAAGTGAAGTAAGGTGAAGATTCAGCGCATTTAGAAGCTATAATGGAAAATTTTCACTGATAATGGCCCCAAAGATTTTTATGTTCGGAAAATTCCTTACAGCATTGAGAAAGAGAAATCACTGAAAGAAGAACACACAGGCGGAACTGCCGCATAATCTTGGAATGGCATATGATAAGCGCTAAGACGCGCTTTAAGCCTTTGGTCGACTTCAAAGAAGACAACGTCAAAAAATTTTTTCCCCCTTGTTACAATTTTGCTCGAAAATCACTGATTGAATTCTGGTTTCATGCATATCTCCGCTGCTCTTGGTTTTGCTATTTAAGGTTCTTTGCGACCTAGATGATATGGATGATATTCGTCGATTCCAATGATGTTCTACAAAATCTTAAAACGTAGTCAAAGCAGTACTGCTTCATTTCAACGATAATTCGCCATTTTGCTAGAAGTGAATCCTTCGTTCTAATCGCTTAGCACTGGTAGTAACATAGCAGAGGGTTATTTTTTACGATAGTCATGCCTCTCTCATAAAACCGTTGTCCCTTCACGTGCAGTCACCTTCGCAACTGTGTAGGATATCAGAAGAAATACAAGATTTAAATCC